ATCAATACCATGCAACTTATTGAGGTCAGCATGAGGATAGAGGATCATTTTACCGCCATATCTCCCTTCCCAAGTTACAGCATGCCTCGTGTTAGTGGTGGCATCCACAGATACTCCGTTGTACCTGTCAGTGTCCCAGAAATCGACCGTTACATACAAACTCTCCAGTATCTTTTGCCAGAACACAAACTCACGTCGTGATATGCCACTACCAGTTATCATCAATATGTCCGAAGGTGAGGCAGTTGGAGTATAAAATGGAGACACTCGTATCATCTGGTGATTATATTCAATTAATTTATCTCGGAGGTAAACATCAGCTTGCCAGAGACAGCGGTCAAAAAGCTCGGCCCTGCTCTCCATTTGAACTGTCAACTGGACGACCACTGTACCTTTTGGAGGTATTTCGTGAAGCTGAACATACAGACTGTCCCTCATGTTAGGGTCATAAGTAACTGTGTAAGGAACTAGGGAGAGACCCACATTAGCAGCTGCCACTGGGAGGAGTCGCTGATCAAAGTGAACCTGAAGAATGACTTTCCCGCCAGAGCCAGGAACTGATCCATAAGGCATTTGGGATATGTTTTTAATTCCAATCTCAAGATTAGCCGTTTCGCCACGTCCAAGGTTTTCTGGGCATTTCATAAATGCTAATTTAATAGGGTACTGTACAACAAGGGTTTTCTTGTGGAACGAGCGCTCAAAGGGACGTCCCAATAATTCAACACGAGATACAAACTCTGCTTTTGAAACAAACGGTCCAGGTTTGTTAGGAGGAGGCTGGTCGAATATTCGCCCATAGTAACTAACAGGAACGGTGTATGTGGTCCCACAAGGGATTTCAGGCAGTTCGTGTTTTATTGGCTCAAATTTGATAGTTTGAGTTGAAGGAATAAAAGCAATGGCTCCAGAGGGCAGGTCCATAGAAGCATCATTAGTCATGGTGAGGTCTGTTATAATGACACGTTCGTTTGGTTCAAAGATCCCGTCATCAACAGCAGAAGCAGTGTGAAACCCGGTCACATGGCAGTCATAACGTGTGGAAGACTCATGAAGTATCCCTCCATCAGGTGAGCTGGTAACCCACAATATACCACCAATTGGTGCTGATTTGCCATTGATTCCGTCCTGTCCAGAAGCACCCTGACGTCCATCATATCCCCTAGATCCAGAACGCCCACTTGGACCAGGAAAACCACATGGATAAGGAAAAGTGACTCCATCATCGTTTGTGAACGTACCTCCCATGCCTCCTGGTCCTCCAAAACCTCCACTACCACCGGATCCTCCACTGCCTCCTTCCCCTCCTTGTCCTCCATGCCCCTTTTTTCCACCTACTCCACACATACAGTCCACCTCTACTAGCATGAACAGTCGTGGGTCCTGAGCTTGTAATACACAGGCACCTCCATATCCAGCATTTCCCCCATCTCCTCCTCTTCCTCCTTTACCTCCGGCTCCACCCAATCCCCCATTACCCCCATTGCCGCCCTCTTCCCCATTATCACCAGGAGCATCAGAGTGGGAAGCTCCCGGACGGCCACAAGCTCCATTACCTCCTTTACCTCCTCTGCCACCAGCTCCGCCTGTTCCCCCATTACCTCCTCTACCCCCGTCCCCTCCTCTACAATTTACAAATAATACTTCCTCATATTTGTCTCCGCCCAAATGTGCCGTGAATTTACATGAACCAGATACATGTAACGACTCGCTGTTGCCAGAGAGACTAAGTATGACATCACTTGCTTCAGTTGCATCTTGTCCTCTTTGTCCAAACTCTCCCTGCCCCCCGACCCCCCCAGGACCCCCTGCACTTCCATCAGAACCATATCCTCTTCCATCCATTCCATAGTTTCCGCTGGTACCAGTAGTACCTGCTTTGCCATGGTTTCCGTCATCACCGTCAATACCAGCAGCATTAAGCACAAAACCATGTTTCTTAGATTGGGCCCTTTGGGAGGTGTGGTTTATGATGTGATGGCTACGACAGAGCGCCTTAGGGAGTGTCTTTTCTCTTTTACGATCGCCGTAAGTCCCCTGGCGTTTCTTTAAAGCTGGTTTGGATGCTATAGGTGGGCGTGGGTCTTCAAAAAAGGTCACTTTTTGTAAGTGATCAAGAAAGAAGTAATACTTGCCAATCGGATCCCATAGTGCCTGCTGTCCATCACTCAGACCAACCTCAGGTCCATACCCAATACTAATTGGACAAAAAACAGGTGGACCGTGGGGTGGGCGGAAGGTATCATGTGAGGGTCGTCTGGTTGATGAAGAAGCAGCTGCTACTGAAGGATCATAAATAGGCATTGCTTGACCTGGATACACTACAGGTGTCTCTGGCTGAAGGTCATTTGGTAGATAAAACCCTAACGCCAGTTGCTCCATAGTTTGAGCATAATTAGGAGGGGCATCAACAGGTCTGGGTACAACCTCACCCTCATCCTTTTTCTCCTTGATTCCCTCATTAAATGCCGTTTGTCTTTGTACAAGTTCCTCTTCTGATGGATGGATAACATCCCAAAGTCCATGCGTTGCTTCTACTGGGATCTCATTAGCACCTTCTGCCTTTGAGAAGAGACCCTCTCCAGTGTGACCAAATGATGCCATGAAACTACGCATTTGTACAATGTCTGGTGTTCGGAATGTTCCCAAGCGTTTTCCAGTGGTTTGGTTAATAACATGAAAGGACGTATAGTTTGAGTCCTTGGGGTCTGTGGTGACTGGCTCTACGAGGGGTTTACGAGCTGGGGGAATTTCAAAAAAGAGTTTTTGTGTCCCGTTCTTTTCAGTAAAAACTTGGTGCTGATATTGACCTGTAGAAATAGAATTAGAAGAGGATTATCATGTAATGATTAGCCTTTAATCAGGATATAGTGCTGCTTGCATTCCAAAATATTTACACTTTACACTTTACATAACAAAAATAAATTGATGAAGTTCAAGTACCTTGTACCCATGCACCCTATTTGCTTGATTAGAAGCTCAGCTCAAGTAACAACCATCCCCAAAATATTCTCACTACAGACATGCATTTTAGGCAGCTAAGACTTTAAATTGCTCCAAATATAATAGTCTAACTCTTGAACTTATACACACATGTACTTTGTATTTGTCACTTTTACACTTTAAAAATTATGCACTTTTTACCTCAAATTATATTGTACTACTGTATTTGCCTGATCAAAAGCCCGGGGCATTTATACTTAACAGGGAGAAAATGAATTGTATTAAAAAGTGCCATCAAAACTAGGAATTGAACTAATGTCCTTAGGATAGCAGACTGTACAATACATGCATGTAGTCAGTAAAAAAGAACATTAAATGTTTCGAATACATTCATTGCATCAGCTCCAGAAAATGCAACCTTATGCTGCAGTGTTGTGCTAACTTGTAAAACATATATACAACAAGTATAATGCATTGCATTAGTACAGTGGAAACCAATGTCTAGCCAGTACTTGTCATACCAATGCAGTATTGCTTCGTTATACATGTACATGTAGCTGCATACCAGGAGTAATGATTAGCCATCTCTTTTTCCATCTCTTCAATATGCGGGACTGTTTCTCCACGTACCCGCTGCAGGTTTGCACGGATCCTTCCTGCAGTGTGAGGAGTGGCGGAGCCTGAGTAGCCATGACGTATCTATGAGAGAAGGAGACAGGGAACAATTCCTATGCAACAAAGTTGCAAGACAAATCAGGCTAAGCGCTTCGGGCCTTTTTATGCAATTTTTTGGAGCTGTATAACCACACCCACATTAATTAACTCGGCAGATCCGAATTATAAAAAAAGAAAGCCAATAATAATAATAATAATAATAATAATAATAATAATAATGATGATGACGATGATGATGATGATAATGTTAATGAATGAATGGATGAATGAACATGAAAGTGAAACATAAACAATAATAAACACAAAAGCAAGACACTACAAACAAAAAACAACAACAACAACAACAACATTAATAATCATAGCTTAAATAGCACATCGCTGGAAGAAGGGGAGAGAGAAGAGAGAGAGTTAATATCCTCAAGGATAGAAGGAGATGAGGAATAAGCTGAATGGAGTCCGTGAAGTTGAGCTGTTTTAATGTCTCGCTCGGAGAGGACGGAGTGCATAGGCTCCTCCTCTTCCTCCTCCTCTTTGCAGACCAGGCGAAACGAGTCCTCAAAAACTTCGCTGAGGGGGCCCACGTATTTCTTACCATCGCCGTAACTCTCGGGGTAGACAAACATCTGCCTCGGCTTGGAAGACGGAGATTTTAGTATTCTTGCATTTTTAAACTTTGAGTTGGTTTCTTCAAGGCTAACGTCAACACCTCCTCCGTTACTCAGATCTTTTAGATGAAGACCACACCCATTGCCACGCCCTTCTGGCTCTTCGGAAATCGTTGAAGGAACGTCCTCTAACATGCTACAGCGGCTGCCACTAGATGAAGTCTCATCATCTTTGTCACTGTTACGTCGGCCACGCCCTTTTCCAGCTCCACCCCCAAGAAGGTTCTCTAAGCTGATCTTGTATATGTGTAAGGAGGTTCCTGAAGATGTGGCTTTCCCAAGGACTTTGGCGGCTTTTCCCTCCAAACGTGAGAAACTATCGTTCCTTTGGAGAGACTGATTGAGGAGACTTGGAGACGAGAATATCAAGTCATCCTAAAATAAATAAATAAATAAATTAATTAAAAATAAATAAATTAATTAATAAATAAATTAGTTAATTAGTTAATTAATGTAAAATAAAATGTTTACTTTGAGTGAAATAGGTTTAAGTTGAGGCACGTCGATGGTGTGCATTAAAGAACCGTTTGATGACTTTCTAATTTCAATAGTATCAGCTGTAAACGCTAGTGTATAGGGACCAGTGTGAACTGGAGGAAAGGAGAGGGAGAGAGAGAGAGAGAGAGAGAGATACATTTCTGTTACACATACACATGTTCTTCATAGTGTAAGGGTT